CCTTTTCTATATGTAACCGTTTGGTTAAAAGTAATGGAAAATAAGCAATTTCATGTTACCCCATATTATTGGCATAGATATATCTTATTCTATGTGAGAACATAAATATCCCTTGTAGCGATAGTCTAAGTTACAAGGGGAAGGATTTTCTCTCACACAGACATAACCAATGTGTCATGGGAATTCAAACTTGAGAATACTGATATGCAAATCAAGACCATTTTTCATTATGTTACCCCGTTTACCCGTAAGATGCTCTTTAAAAGAAAAAAGAAAAATAAAAAAAGAGGGCATGATTTGATAAAAATCACAAGGATAATAGTTGAGTGTGCCATAGCCTAAATCAAATTATTGCAGCATATTAGTTAGGGGTACAGGTACAGCTATGCTAGCTCAGCTGGTTTTGGAGATTGTGTGGATGGTGGGGTGAGACTTCGAAGGGTTTTCAGAGTTGGAATTTTGCTCTCATAATTTAGCACGTCACACTCAATTAGGTGAATAATTAAAGGACTTCATATTCTTCTCGTAGCCCCACTAAGATTGTGATCTCTTGCAACGACTTTATGGAAATCTCTGTCGAAAAAAATAATTTCCCATGTTGATGTTTATTGAGTAAGATTCTTATGAGGAAAAAAATGAAGTTAGACAAATTCCAATATTAACTAGCCGTTCAAAAATGAACTTAGACAAATTCCAATATTAACTAGACGTTGATGTAGATTTCATGCATATCGTGTCGTGAACGGAATGATTTTAATTGTTGACTCAAGTAATTAACACTCGATTTTTCATAAATCAATAGTTAAGAATTATCCATGCATGCACGCATCTACCATTGAAGAAAAGCTTAATTTAACCACAATTCGAGTTGTTAGGTCATGTCATTAGGCAATCAATTCCTCAATTAAGGGATGATGAAATATAGGAAGAATCTTCATTTTCCTACTTGACACAAACATTTTCTTTGCTAATTTTTCATTTTCCTACTTCTTCCTCGTTTCATTTGTTCAAATATTTTCATATATTAATAGCACGAAATTTGACAAAGGTAACAACAAGGTTTCGTGGTGTAGTTGGTTATCACGTCAGTCTAACACACTGAAGGTCTCCGGTTCGAACCCGGGCGAAGCCAATCTCTAATTTTCCTTTTTCCTCAATCCCATTCCATTTTGAAACGACGTCGTCAGATGGTTCCCATAACGGTATTACCCAACCTCAACAAAACCCCGCGAAACACGCGGCGAAACCACGCACTGTGAATCCACATCATCGGGGGCAGTTTCTAATTCCAACAAACGAGAACCAATCGCGCAAGCCTTGACATAACTTACTCTCTTCCCATTGGTCTGTCTCCTCCACGTCAGCACCCTCTAGATTCTTCGCAGCTAATTTTCCCAAACTTCAAAAGTCACCCAATCAAACCCACCGCCTTCATCATCCCCAAAATCACAAAAAATAAAAAAACAAAAAATCCAGTCCTCCAAACAATGGCTCTCCAAGCTCTGTTTTTTATCCTCGTAACAACGCAGTTCCTACCATCTTCTTCCCTAATTTCCAAGCCCGATTTCCACTCTCGCTACCCTAGCCCCAGAGCCATCTCCGTAAGCCTTGTCTCTGTCTTCAATTTC